ATACATACATCTGTATGTGTATATATATATATATATGTATGTATGTATGTATATATATATATATAAATATCAATTGTGTATTTATGTATGTTATAACATACATATACATACCCACACACACACACACACTACATGAAATGTGCACACGCACATACCTGCATGGTACGCACACATGCAGTGTTTGTATATGCACATGCATTAATATACATGTAGCACACACATATATATATATATATAAGCAAATAAACAAACAAATACCTCCTGTGACCCCTCTGAAAACACGACTTCCAGCAGTGGCACGAGTTGCGGGACCGGCATAAAACCCAAGGCTCGAAAATGCCCGGAGCAATCAGCAACTCGCCCTTCGCCAGAAGCGATTTGAGGCTCGGCTTGGTCGGCGAAGCCATGGCTGCAGACTGATCTGCCCACGAGCTACAACTCTGCAGTAGCTTTACATATACCCTCATGCGCCTTCCCCTTTCCAATGGCTACTTCCAGTGAACATCAGGATAGCTTCAAGGTGGACCACGGCTTACAAATGACCGCTACGGCGCTCGGCATCAAAGCATCGACTGCATGATGTGCACTGAGCTGTTGAAACAGCTCGTCAAAAAACGGATGTGTACCCGCATCAGGACATCCTCACTCGATCATGCCGGACCCTCATGTTCTGGCATACCTCCACCCTCGCACAGCATTTAGCCGAGCCGTCCTGCTCCGCAGGACGGAGGCCTGAATGTTTGGAATAGGGTGTATGGGGGGTGTCTTACAGTATAGGTATAACATAAAGAAGCTTCTATGTTATTTCAGTATACATGGTACATAATATGAGCTGCGACCTCGACCCTCCACCCCCGGCCTGCGTCTGCAGCGGCAACAACCGAAGTAGCTGAGCCTGGAAACACGACCAGCAGTGGGCGCCGGGCGCCGGAGTCACGATCTGAAGCTGAACAGCTGTGTGCTTCGTGTGGCAACTTCAAGCAGAATGGCACCAAATAAACCAAAGTCGCGACAAACTACCCCAATAATTAGACTTGTTCGCAGCACAATGCACGAGACGTCATGTGAGGCATGGGAGGAGTTGCAAAGCTGAGCCAAGCTTTCTGCAAATCAGCCTCAGTGTCGAGGTCGCTGTCCAAAGTGCTACGGTCCTGCCCCGAAAGTAGAAGTGCGCAAGGCTTCGGTGTTGTAGCCAAGCTATGGCTACTGCAGCCTCTGCTGCGACTGGAAGTAATATGGCGGTAGCGAAAAGCAGGAGCGCAGCAACGCTAGCAGTAGCGGCGGAGTAGCAACAGTAGTGCTGGCACTAGTACTAGTACTAACCCAGCACTAGCGCTTAATTGTCGTGGCAGTGGCTGGTAGTGGTGGTGGTAGTGGTAGTGTTTGTGGCAGTGCTCGCGGTCGTGGTCCTGGTGGTGGTAGTGGCAGTAGTAGTGGTAGTAATGGTGGTAG